ACCTGCAGAAGTAAGGAGGAACGCACCGTATAACATAGATACCATAATCATGCATATGGGGGTTTGTTCAAAATCATGGTACCCCAAAACTGCCCTTACGCCGCTCTTTCGCGAACCTTTCCCGCCCCAGCAGAATCGGGACAGGGAATATGATCATGTCTTCGCATGCATATTTCGTACTGAAGGTTTACATGAGGATTACATTGGAAACATCACCTTAAACATAATTCAAACGAGGAAGTGGAAGCATTCACCTAAGTCGTTTTACAATGTTTTACACAGTGCCCGACAGTGGAAACACAAGTGAAGGTGGGCCAAGGTGGGATCCTGGCAGACTCGCCTTTCGCCAGCCTTTCGCGAACCTTTCGCGGATTTCTCGCCTACAAAAATGTGTTTTTTTTTGTTAAACTGACTCATGTTTCATGAGAGGATGTGAGGGTGTTTCAGTTCCAATACTAAAACCCATTCCTATCTTTCATGAATGCAACTGTAACTGCCAAGCAGGAATACTATATCACATACATCTAGTCATATAGGTGTATTTGGACCTTTCGCGAACCTTTCGCCGCCCTTTCGCGGTCTTTCACCACTGCAGCAAAAACACACATCCATATCTGCCACTGGAATACTCAAAGTCTTGCATGGGTTTTAGAACGACTCCCATATGCATACAAGTATACATCTATCTGGGTAAATTACAATAATTCACTAACCTGAATTGTTGGGCCATTTGGGGATGATTTCCCTAAAATAAACCATGATTTCCAGGCTTCGGGAGAACAGGGTTCGGTCGTTATAATTTACGCAGATGTATGATCATGTATGATCTATGCGTTAAATATCTTGGTCGTTTCCTGCGGGTCGAACATGTCAAACCAGTGAATCAACCAATGTGCTGCACACTTTATGTCTTTTGCAGCTTGGCCAGTGTTGGCCACCCAAAGTGAGATGGAACACGATGGGACGAACGTGACCAAAATCTGGCTTAAAGCTCAAGCGGCCCAGTTGACTTCAACAAATCCCGGCAATTTTCCAATTTTCTGGGCGCTGGACATTAGCCACTGACGTAAAGGCTGTCTTTTTCAAGGCTGTCCTGGACGTGATTCCAGTAGGCTTGGACCAATATCGATGCCCTATCATATGGTGTCATAGGCAATGACAGGTTTTGGCAACTGAAACGCTTAAAAAAACAGGAAGTGACGTAGATGGCGTTGCACTAAACTGATGCTACCCACTGGCCAAAAAACGAATTCCCTGCAGCGCTCTTCTGGAGCAATCAGAGCATATCAGAGCTGCCCCAAGTGGAAGAAACTTCTATCTGTAGCTGTTGCAGTTCAGCCTGAAGGCCCAACTGCGGCTGTACAGTGGGCATCATGGGCGACGTCAAACGCGAGGCCCAGGTGTGAAGTGCTCGTTGACTTTGCCTGAGCTGGAGTGCAAAAAGTTACCAACTTTGGACAGAAGTTATAATACCAATAGGCTATAGGGCTATAGAAGTTTATCTAACCGATAGGGTAATAATACCTGTTCATATAATAACCAATAGTTTGAATTCAGAAAGGATTAAGTTAATACAATGTTCCCATGATTTTGCGGTTTTGTTTTGAACATAAGTATTCCCTTTGTCCAAGGGCAATATCTACTGTTTGTTTCATTTGTTTCAAAGCCACACCAAACATATGATCATCTTTCTGTGTAGGTGAGGAAAGATAAAAGTACCCTCTGGTAAACTAACATAGCTGTTGAAAATTGCCATAGAAATAGTAGATTTTCCCATTACAGTAATAGCATGGTGATTTTCCATAGCTATGTTAAATTACCAGAAGGTAACCTCATTCTTGGAATCGAAGCCATCCCTAGCCATAGTGGTCCATTAACAATATAAGCCAGAGCGATTTGAAACCACCAGCCAATGATGTGGTATAGTCTACATTATCTGGTTGGTGGTTTCAACCATCTTGAAAAATATTACTGTAATCAATGGGAAGGATTATCCCATATATTATGGACAATAAAAAATGTTTGAAACCACCAACCATTTGTTATAGGATGTTACACATTGGAGACCACCAACCAACCGTTGTTTGTATTATTCTACATTGGTAAACACATTGCAAATAATATTGTTCACCTCCCAAATTTACCAATGTGTTTATCAACATGTAATTGTCGATCGTTTCATCTCAACAATATTCGGAAATGATTTGACATGACATGATATGTGTCATGGTCACAAAACATGGGTCATCCATCATATAATGGAAATACAAGGTCATCATATCATGATATATCATCATATTTAATATTGAATTGTGAGAGTCATATACTGTACTATAAATGATATGACTTCACTTGTTTTACCTTAAGTTAAATCACATGGATACTTTGGAGAAAAAAAAAACACTAGCTTTCATCATTTTCTATTTTTAGAGATTAAACAACTGATATTTCTCTAATATGTGTCGCTTTCCCAGTCCTCATGGGGGGACAATAATGGGGCATCATCCAAGCACGGTGACATATGGTGACTTAGCAGCTCTAGCATTATTGAAACCCCCATGTTTGTGCCATATAAAGCATCATATTATATGAACTCTACATATTCCATATTATTATCACATATTACCATTCTTCACTATTAAATCTATTAATCACTAAAGATATAACGCGATATGATTCCATATGATTCACTATTATTATTCCATATTCCATATCATTATTCCTACATTAACATGATATTCCATATTATCCCATATTATCCCATATTATCCCATATTATCCCATATTATCCCATATTATCCCATATTATCCCATATTATCCCATATTATCCCATATTATCCCATATTATCCCATATTATCCCATATTATCCCATATTATCCCATATTATCCCATAGTATCCCATAGTATCCCATATTATCCCAAATTATCCCATATTATCCCATATTATCCCATAGTATCCCATATTATCCCGTATTATCCCTTATGATCCCATAGTATCCCATATTATCCCATATTATCCCATGGTATCCCATGTTATCCCATATTATCCCATATTATCCCATGTTATCCCATGTTATCCCATGTTATCCCATATTATCCCATATTATCCCATATTATCCCATATTATCCCATATTATCCCATGTTATCCCATGTTATCCCATGTTATCCCATGTTATCCCATATTATCCCATATTATCCCATATTATCCCATATTATCCCATAGTATGCCATATGATCCCATATTATCCCATATGATCCCATATGATCCCATATGATCCCATATTATCCCATATTATCCCATATTATCCCATATTATCCCATATTATCCCATAGTATCCCATAGTATCCCATATTATCCCAAATTATCCCATATTATCCCATAGTATCCCATAGTATCCCATATTATCCCGTATTATCCCATATTATCCCATATTATCCCATATTATCCCATATTATCCCATGTTATCCCATGTTATCCCATGTTATCCCATGTTATCCCATGTTATCCCATATTATCCCATATGATCCCATATTATCCCATATTATCCCATATTATCCCATAGTATCCCATGTTATCCCATATTATCCCATGTTATCCCATGTTATCCCATATTATCCCATATTATCCCATATTATCCCATATTATCCCATATTATCCCATAGTATCCCATGTTATCCCATATTATCCCATATTATCCAAGGTGGTGCAGGAGTTCTTCCATCCACAGTATCATCCACAGTTGATGTTCACCAAGTGGCCATTCACATTGCTCGGGAGCAGTTGAAATGTGACTGCCTCCCCAGACGCCTAGCGCCATGGGGATTTCTTTCTCATGGGGACAGAGTGGAATATCACCAACCTGCTTGGTTCAATGGATTGGTTGGGAAAAATTACAGGAAAGCCCCATATTTCATGGGAAAATCGATGGTTTCCTGTAGAATTACCCTTAAACCAATCCATTGATTGGTGGTATATCGGTGGTAAGATAGCTAAGTTGCCTTATAGGTGGTTTAACTATGGTTTATGGTACATAGAACTATCTGCTTGGTGGTTTCAACCCCTCTGAAAAATATGAGTCACTTGGGATGATGACATTCCCAATATATGGACAAATAAAAAATGGTCCAAACCACCAACCAGAAACATGTTTCAGGTGATATATGTTTGGTGATTTGTCTGGTGATATAATGGAGGTGTAAGCGGAAAACAACATTCGCAAACCATATGGGTTTATGCAGCCACGATCTCCAAGATAACCAACAACACATGGGCATGGAATCAACCTTCCGAAAATTCGAGAAGGTTAGCCATTGCTCCTTCCAATCTTGCAAGCCTGTGTTTGGAGCATCCAAACAAGTTGAAGGACACGCGACTGATTTGACAATTTGAATTCATCTGCTGTCACTCTTATCATTGTTTTGATATTTCAGGAGCCAGTTTGCTTCTTGGATTGCATAGAAGCTCTAGATCCATCCTGGTTGGTGGTTTCAACCCCTCTGAAAAATATTAGTCAGTTTGGATGATTATTCCCAATATATGGACAAATAAAACATGTTCCAAACCACCAACCAGCAAATTTAGGACCTTGAAATTGAACATCTCTGCGTTGTTTTTGAAGCTCAACGTCAGCTTTCCAAGACGGATTCACCAACATTCCCGTTCTTGTCCTGTCGTGCTGTCATTCAATATGCCCATTAAAACATATTAAAAACCATGGTTATATTCCCATGTTCAGGCAAACCCAGCAGACTTGTTGGTCCTGATTGAGTCATCATCGATTATAGCATTGTTCAAGACTTAAGTCCACCCTTATATCAGGATTTCATGGTTACATGTGTTTTCTTTATATTAAAAAATGTTGGTTACATCCCATTATATCCCATCATTAACCCCATGATAGTTGGTTTTCTAAAAACATGTTAAAACAATTTAAAACATGTTAAAACATGTTAAAACATGTTAAAGCCCTATAAATAATGGGATAAACCATGATAAATCATGATAAATCAGTGTTTTCAACTGGTGGATTTCGCAACCATCCACAGTTTTTTTCACATCCCAAATTCTTGGTGAAATCCCCATGAGATCCCGAACCCATCCCGAGTCGCACCGAGGACTGTGAGATCCACAAGTGAAAGTCCCCCGGCTCCGCGACGAGGCGACCATCCGAGCCGTGGAAGCTGAGATCAGACCTGTCGCCGGAGCAGTGGGACCCAGGGATCCGGCAGGAGGAACGGGGAAATCATCATTTTTCATAAAGGATCCATGGGATTTCACGGTGAAATCACTGGAACATCTGCATTTCTTCATAGGTAAATCATTTTTTAATTAGCATCTATGAATCGAGCATTTTCCATACTTAACCAGGTCTGAGTACACAAAATTGTTTGGATTTCCTTGGGTTTCAAGTTTCAAGCAGCAAACATCTGGGAAAATCCAGCAGCAAAGATGGAGAATTGATCATGTGCTTACTCATTGAGCTTTGAAATGTCACTTTGAAACCAACAAGTAGAGGTGGAAACGTTGATTCTATCTGGAGCCTCTTGAGCTCAAACGAAACCTCTCGGGCTTCGCCAGGTTGAAGTAGAACCTGGCAAATGGACAAGGAGGGCACCAGTGGTGGGCAGCAAGTAAAACGCAATCTATCCGCTTTCAACCGATATCTGGAAACAGTCCTAGAATCAATGGATTGGTTTAAGGGTAATTCTACAGGAAACCATAGATTTTCCCATTAAATCTGGGGCTTTCCTGTAAATTTTCCCTTAAACCAATCCATTGATAGAAACATCATTTTTTACAGCTGAACTCCGCAGTCCGGGGGTCTTGTTCATCAAGCAAATGCTGGTTGAGAGCCCTGGGGTAACTAGCTACACTAGTGGCGTTTTTTTATGGAATTAACATGAAACTCGCCATCAAATTTGCAACTTATCTTAAATGGGGGTTTCCTAAGAATGAGGGTATCCCAAAATGGATGGTTTATAATGGAAAATCCTACTATGGATGGACGATTTAGGGGTGCCCCCATTGTAGGAAGCACCTCCAAATGGCCGCCAAAAAACCATAGTGGAAGTCGAAGGGAGATACGGGTCCAAGACTTTGTCTCCAGACGCACTGGTACACCATAGCCTTGAAATCTTCTGACACGACTGGCCATCTTTTTTCAAGGTGGGATTGACATGGATTGACATGCAGAGGCCACCAATCGTAAGCGCCATGCTCTGACACTGATTTGTGTGACCGCCAGGAAAAAGCCAAGAGCGTAGCATCAAGAGCGTGTTGAAATTGCAAGGAAAACTTTAAGAGTGTAGCATCAGGAGTGTCTCAAAATTGCAATGCAAGTTAAGAGCGGAACATCAAGAGCCTCCCCCCAGACCTCCCCCGAAAACCCCCACCCCAAACACCCCCGACCATTTTTGGTTGCACAAAATCAAACTCACATGACAAACTTCTAAGTCAAGTGCAAAATAAGATAAAAAAACAAGTAAAAAACAGGCTATTGGCACCGCGAGTCTACCAAGCGTCTGTCAACTACACAGTTTGCTATATGGAAAATTGATGATGTTATTTACAGATGATTTACCTACAAAAAAAATAAAAATGGCGGATTTTCAATAGCAAACTGTTAAATAACCAGAGGATAGTCAGTACTGACCCAACTGCACACATCTTTGGAGATGGTTAAGCGTGCATCCTTCGGGCCAGTATACTGCGGGATAGTGGTGTCATCGATCACTCTGCTCTTTTGAACATGTCTTGTGGGGCCATTTGGAGGTATCAACATTGGAGATACCTCACATATGTATACACGGACAAGATCTATTGAAAACCTGTGTAAGGGCATATCCCTCAAAACAATTTGGCCGTGAAAATGGTGCAGCACCTCCATTTTAGGCATCTGATGACATCTGAATGAACAAGGACTGTCTATCTGCACTGGGTCTCACCGAAACGAACCGTGAAATTAGCAAATAAGGGTCCCCAATGAGGACCCAACTAAATACAAAACCATGGCCCCCAATGTCTGGAACGCGACTTGAAGACCTCCTCCTCAATTCACACTTTTACGAAGCTCGTACATCAAGTGCGATTGGTTCACCACAATCACCCAGCTTCAGCCCCCGTTTTTTTTTAAGCGCCGTCATATAAATCATATAATTCCAAGTATAAATAATATTCACTTCAGAAAGTTCTCAGCTCACCTAGGAAAATAAGAGGTCAAGCACCCTCATCAAGATAAACTTTCGCCAAATGAAAATTCACTTCCGCAAACTCAGAAACAACTTTCGCGGAGTCTTATGTTGTAACACTGGCGGCCTTTGTAATGGACAATCTCTACATGGACCTTTAGATCGACAATCATATACTAACATCTACTAGCCTCTGGTAATTTAACATAGCTATTGAAAATCACAATTTTTAATGGGAAAATCCACTATTAATGGTCATTTTCAATAGCTTTTTGTATGTTTACCAGAGGGTAGCCCAAATAGAAAAATACACCCAGTAATTTATTGTGATTCTATGCATTGGCTTTTCCACATAGCATTTTTGCTGGTCTCTGCCAAACTCCCAGGAACCCAACTTGAGCCATGAAAAAATACCCCTATCCGGGTCCCTATCCCATCTCATTTTACTGCTTGGTTAGTAAATATTCCGAATTTGTGGGTTCAAAAATATCTCCAATCAATTATATAATGTAGGTTGTTTATTATGTATATAGTATAATTCCTAGCCCATGGTGAAGGTATTTTCAATGGCTCACGGATCAAACATATCAAACTCACCCGCCTTGTGAAAGCCTTTGAGCTCACGTACGGGACGCACTCTGGACGCCACCACGTCGTGGACATAGAGCTGCACCACTTCTTCCCCCGCACGAGCGCCTTGACGAGTTGGACGGAAGAGCTGGACACAAGAAATGTGTCAAGCCCTGGTGAGTCTATGTTAACTTATCAGTATTTGACTTTATAAATGCAGTGTTAACTTCTTGTTAAATTTAGTAAATGACATAAACAAGATGTTCACTTTACTTGCCAGTTATTTACTAGTCATTTATATCCATCTTAGCCACTTGACACCCCCAAACTATCCCAAAATCAGTACTCTCCCAGTCTGGTCATCGCCAAGGTACCAGTGTTCTTCACCTGCCAAAAAACATGGACGCTCGGATGTGGCGGGGTGATGTTTTTTTTTTTTCCTCCAACAACCTTCAAAACCTACCGTAGATGGACGACATATTCAAACCCCTTCTATCCGGTACAACCCCCTCGCCTCCAAAGTTTAATGTTAATGTAACCGTGTAACCTGAAGTGCATTAGCCCCAATGGACGAAAAAAATCAAACCCCTAACATCACTTTTGGTAACATGCGCGCTGAAACATTGAGATTTGGGGGTGCAGGGGTTCAACATAGTGCGTGTTGCAGGGTTTGAATATTTTGTCCATCTACTGTAATGGTGTTATGTGGTGTTTACAGTGTCTTGATGTGTTTTGAAGGATCAAAAAGGGATTTAACATTTTACAGTAAAAGATCACCATATGTCACGTGTGGGAAATAAATGAACGTAAATGGATGTAAATGGAAACAGAATAATCCAAGACCGTTCGCAAATCCACTCACGACGTAAAACCTGCAATCATTCACCAACCCAGCGTGGGCGAAATGGAGTGGGCCAACGGAGATACCAAATGACAACTTGGGAGTTGGTTCGTCCACCACACTCATGCCAATGTTGAGATGTTTATCAATCCGAATTACTTGCATATGATTAAATGGCCCCCAACAAATAAAAACACGACTCCACACAATGATGCCGCAGTCATGCTAGATTTCCCGTTGGCAAAGCAACTTCTCGCCTTGCAGCGAAGAAGTCAAACAATGGATCCAGTTCAAAAAAAACAAACACGTGTATGAGGCCTACTTGAGGGATAACCTCCGGCAATCAAACATGGCAATGGGAAATCATACATGGAAGGGTTAATGGGAAATCTATCTGCAAATGGGCACTTCTTGTTGATTGCCATTGATTGCCATGTTTGATTAGCAGAGGGTATTTGATATTTACACCATCCACTATGAAAGAAGCTTGCAAACCCCCTATTGTCTAGGTGTCACGGGGGAGATCCTTTGAATACATGAAAACCGAAGATCCCAGTGTTCTTATCCCACTAAATCTCAATAGAATATCCTAGTGTTAGCTCACAATCAATGGGCAAGCTGCAAGTACCATAGTTATTATGAAGAGTTATCCCCGCATCAACCCATGGTTGCATTCCATGATAATTTTCTCACAATTTCCAGCTTAAACCACATTAAACCCAAAATATCTCAGGTTAAACAACAGTTTCCATGGTTTATCCCACATTTAATGCCCCACATTAAACCCAAACAAATTACTGTGTAGACATCGCTACCCGACATCCGACATGTCGCGCCTGCACGGAAGCCTTTAAGGCGCCATCCCAGGGCAAGGTGCTGGAGCTTAACGTTGGACTACTGAAGGAGAAAGATGTGTAACCTCAAATGACTTTGTTTGGCTTCTGGGGGAAACAAACTCGATTATCACTGGTTGGTGGTTTCAACCTACCCCTCTGAAAAATATGAAAGTCGGTTGAGATGATTATTCCCAATATATAGCAAAAATAACAAATGTTCCAAACCACCAATCAGATCTTCCTATATTTATCAACCACCTCAGATTCTGTCAGAAAAAAACACCTGGGGATTTAATTCTTTGCCATCCATTAACCACTTTTAACCATTAAATTAACCATTGTTATAACCATCATTAACCATCATTTTTCAGAAGCCAACGAATCGAGTCAATCCATGGGGATTGAAGCATCACTTCTTGGTGGTGCAATAACCGCTGTGCCCATCTTGAAAAATCATGGAGTGACCGTCAATGGGAAGGATGACATCCCAGATTAATGATGGAAAATAATCCATTCATGTTTGAAACCACCAACCAGTTTAAAAAAAAAAACATGTTTCAAGTCGAAACGCAAACAATGGATTGACAAAAACCGTGGATTTCACAACCAAAGTGGCTTTTACACAACCCAAACTTGGGGAGCCATACCATGCCATACCATTGTACCATCCAGCTGAATCATGGTAGAATTGTGGATAATCGGGATGGTGGAAGTGTAAATTCTGAATGTACTATATCACAATAATGTCCTTTTGGTAAAAATAGAGGGGCCGGTTTGGTATACCTATCATCATTTCCCTGTTGTTAAACGGGTTTCTTCAAACCCCTCTATTAATCAGCCAATGGGAAAAGGACATCTATGCCATATCACCTTTGTCATCCCAATTCATGTACCATGTAAATCCATGCAACTCTTTGTGGAAGTGAGAAGAATCTGGGAAGTCGATGGGTTTGTGACTGCCCCGTCAGTGATGAATATGGGGCTTTTTTCACAAGGGCGAATCCTCAAGGTCACTTTTCGGCTGGGGATTGGTTTTTTAGAATAGCGGAAAACGTGCCGACTGCGAACTAGGTACCCTCTGGTAAACGTTTACATAACTATGGAAAATCACCATTTTGAATGGGAAAACTCACTATAAATGGCAATTTTCAATAGCTTTTTGTATGTTTACCAGAGGGTAAATGATGGGTGAGTGGATTTCGACAAACCGACTCGTGGTGACGACGCTCGTGATGTTGGTATTAATTGGAGTGGGAGTAGGGAGTGACATGCAAAGACCATATATAGTGTCCCAAATCTCTGTAACGTTTTAAAGCATTAAGTCCTTCTCGTTATCGCTGGCGGATGTTTCATCTTAGCTTCATTGATTCCACGTTGAACTCCTACATATTTAATATGATTGAATTAATATTGTCACCAGCTTTGTCCGTTTGATGATTGCACAACTCTTGAAGAATATAAGTCGTTTGGGATCCCATATACCCTCTGGTAATTTGACATAGCTATTGAACATGGCACATTGAATAGTTGATTTACCTATCAAAAACAGGGGATTGTCCATAGTTTTTTGTACGTTTACCAGGGGGTAGATATTCTGTGACTGGAAAGCAAGCGGCGACTGAAAGCCACCAAACGGCCAGATGAGGACAACAGCAGTGACTGTACAAGGCGATGCCCCCCCAGTTATAAATTGGTCTATATAATATCTAATTCATTAGTTCGATTTATCTACCATACACCCTACACCCTAGAATTCACCTACTTATAAGCCAATTTACCTAACTATGGTTGCTAGCTTGTTGGTGGTATACCATGTAGTGCAGTTTCCTGTTTGTGGCTAATCTATGCAAATCTGTAGCCTGAAAGAAGCAGATTTTTGGCCGTGTTGTATGTACATTATATATATATCCCATTATATCCCCACTAATGGCAAAAAAATGACATGTGAACCTACCCTCTAGTTGGTTTCCCCAAATATTTACCACATGTTTCTGATTAACTCCTATTGAATCCAATGGAATTTTCCCCTATTTTCCAACTCAACCACCATGTTTGATGGTTGACCCAGTGCCGACTTTTCGACATGGACCATGCCTAGGTACTGAGACCAAAGCCGAAGGGGAACAAGGCCTTACTTGGCACCTGTCAACATTGGCGGTGGGGATCGGGGGGAATGCAAATCGCTTGAGCCGCTTGATGTTTTGGAGGGGGGGTAACCAGGGGAAAACCCCAAGTTGATGCATATAATGTCAACCCCGGATTAATAAACCATGGTTTATTAATTAGGGGGTATTCCCCCCATGATTTGATACTTAAATGGTACCTTCCCAATTAAATGGCCTAGGGGTTTATTAATCCAGGGTTGACATTACCCATCATATACTAATATGTGGGGCGGAATCTTCGGTGATTACTTGACCATCTTTTTGGCAGTCACTATCACATATAAGTGTTGGGGCACAGAAGTCTTGAACGCTCACAAAGGATATGAGCTATATAAATTGCTGTCTCAAATAGTCCTGTCTTGCAAATGTTTATTTCAGAATGTTCCCAACGGATGAGTGGCATGACCAACTTGTGAGGTGATACATCTCTACATAATACAAAGCAACAAGTGTACGTTTCAGTGAGTAACAAGTCTTCAACAAGCCCGCAGAAGTAGCTGACGCTCCGCGGATCAAGGTGAACCGGGGAAAAATTCAACCATCGAAGCACCACATGAACCATGAAAAATAGCCTGTTTTCTCATGAAATACTGGTTGAAAACGCTTTCCCAATCCTGGCTGGGTTACCCTCTGGTAAACTAACATAGCTATTGAAAATGGCAATTTATAGTGGATTTTCCCATTAAAAATGGTGATTTTCCATAGTTATGTAACAGTTTACCAGAGGGTAGTTCATAATCCCCACCCAGGTAGTTTTTGGGGTCCCTAGGGTCCCTTTTTTACCCAACCAGGCGATCCCCCCCGGCGCCTCTCTCCATGTCGCCTTAAAGGTCCGGGGTCCATCGCCCTGCGGTCGCCCCGTTCGCGGTGCGTTGTAAAACAGGGGCTGCTGTCCGGAATCCGCGGGGAAGCTGCACGGCAGCCGACCTGGCGGGGTAAATGATGAGGGGTATGGATGGATAATGATGGATATGGATATGGAGGTTTCCTAGAAATGGGGGTACCCCCAAATCATCCATCTTGCTAAAAATTTTCATGGAGTTTCCATTCGAAACAATAAAGCATTCATTTTGGGGTACCCCCATATTAGGATATTTTAGGAAACCTCCATTTATCGGACCTGATAGTTTGTATGGGCAAATTTCACAGGGATTTATCAAATCAACCATGTAAATATGATTAAATATGTGGGTTTGATCAGGACCGGGGAATTTTTCATTGGCATTTCACCGGCAGGGGATTTCGGTGGATCTAATCAACAAAAATATGGACAATAATACAATCTGGTTGGTGGTTTCAACCTACCCCTCTGAAAAATGATGGAGTGATGAAAGTCAGTTGGGATGATGACATTCCCAACTGAATGTAAAAGATTAAACATGTTCCAAACCACCAACCAAACAATGAGCTTGTTTAGAAGAGAATACCACATTTCTGGCCGGTTCAATGCGGAAAATGATGTTCTGATCTATGGAATGGGATGCTTCGACCACGAAAATCGACCTGGTGATTATGTGATTATACTCAAAAAAAAAAGTAGAGCTTGTACCCAAAAAACTAGATGGCTACTATGATCGAACATATTGAGATCTGAAGGACCACATAGATCAGGTATTTCGTGCCCACTCCCAATGTCCCAAGCTGTTTGAACTTGCAATTTGCGAAATCTGGGCACATTTGCAGATGAAGAACTTAACAACATTGGGTCTGGGATTCCGTGCACAACTGGAGCATGAAAACCCTGCATGAGATGCGTGTCGATTCGCACAGTTTTTTTCCACAGATTCTACTCCAAAACCGACATTCATCCTGACAATGCAGGAGTTGACTAGGACCATCATTCCATTTCAAGGGAATGAGAAAAAAAGTTCAACACCACCAGGCAATTTGAGTCCTATCATGTTATTGCAGACTCAGCAATTGACTCAACCAACATCCCCATCTGTTTGTTGGCTAAATCCACATTTTGCCTCACCCTTTCCATCCTAAAACTCCTCCCTACACCCCCCAGTTACAAGTTGATTTCGAACCTCCATCAACTATAGATTAAACCCTAGTTGACTATATATACATATAGCCTATAGCCACCATAAACCCTAGTTAACTGTAGATATAGCCACCATAAACCCTAGTTATTGGCATTATGTTTACCAACTTAGCGATTCCGTGGGGCACCACCCCACTGTTGCTTCACCGCACCTGAAGGGTTGTAGTCACCAAAGACCACATCCGCCACAGCTGTTCCGGTCTGCGTCCCCAAGAACCACGTGACCAGCAAACCCTGTGCCTTCTGGACAGCGCCGCTCACGGCCAAGGCGCGTCCTGCAATTCGCGGAAGGGGGCCCTTAGGTAAGTTGCTTCATAACTAGGTCAGGATTTGGATATCACCAGGATATCTCTGATTTTATCATTTCATGTGTTGTTGATGTGATTAAACCATGTTAGACGCATATGTTGATCAAGGTTTGATGGTTATATAACCCCGCATTTTGGGTGGAGCACAAGACCACGGCCAATCTTTGATACTCCTCAAGAAAAACATGGTTTGTAAATAGTGCCTTTTATCGCAAATAATCAATTATTATAAACTACTTACCCAACTCAGATTGCCCAGCAAAGCGGGGCCTCCCAAAAGTAGTTTGCATTTGTTTTACCTCCCCCTCCTTCCAAGAAAATGTCTGTGCGTGTGACATATTTAGAAGTTAGCGTGAAAAAAACATGGCTGAAGGGGTGTGGATGAGTGGATGGCCCCATTTGGTCCTTAAAAATGGGATCAACATATAATAACATATGTCCAAATTGGGATGTATGAAAATTTAAGACCCCTGAAAGTATGTCTATCCGGTAATCAAAGAGTGCAATGGGGAAATCCATGAAAATCCACCAATTTATAGATGATTTTCCCACTGAAACCTCCATTTATAGGCCATTTCCAATTGCTACGCTTGATTACCAGAAAATACCAGAAGGTAATTCTACTTTTTGGATCTTTTTGGTATTTTTTTAAATCCACCATCCAACTTTACCGGTTCTGTATCCAAATTTAACCGGGCCATTTCTTTGCTGCAGAAATGCCCCACACCTGGTGTTTTTGACCCAGTCAGTACACAAAGTCATCCTATTTGGGGTCCACGGGCCTCCTAGGGACTTGGAGACTCCGCTCCGTATCAGTCCGACTCCCTTGGAGACTAAAAAGTTGGCGCAATCCCTATCCGCAGTTGTGCAGCTATAGTCATGTTTCTTGCGTCAAATCCCAAGTTTTGTTGCAAAACAAGTCAGTTTCATTCCTCAAAGCAACACTTTTGTTGACAAGTTCCTTATTTTTTGCGTGTGAGATCATGTACAAATCCCATCAACCTGCCCAAAACGGCAAAAAAACAAGTTTAAAACACGTTGAACCACCATAAATCAGGATGGCGAAGACCAGCCCTAGATCAGTAGGGTTTTAGATCAGTAGGGTTGTTAGCATTCCCCAAAAGTCAGAAAGAAAATGTTTCCTTTAAAAAAAAAACAGTTTTTTTGAAACATTTGAGAAATTTTGAGATAGGTAAACTTTCTTGAAGGAACCACTTGCCATTTGCCACTTGACCAAGTGCCTCTTGCAAATTCCTTTTTCAACATTTTCTGTGTGCCATTTGTGACATCACCACTGACACTTGGGAGACTATCACTTTGTAATTGATTTGAATGCTGATGTTTTGCTGGCCAGTGATACTTGTGTAAGTAAAATCCCATCCAAAATTGATACAGAATTGTCTCAAAAGTTTTCACACTTGCAGAGGCGCGCAAAAGGGGGGACTAGATCGGCAGGGTTTTTCACAAAAGGCTCTCCCAGAGTTCACAAAAATCCTGGGCCAGCCAAAGAAATGCACCAAAAAACAAAAAACAACAATTATGGCGTCAAAACGATTGGACTCCAGAGAATAAACTTATTTATACTACATTTTTTCATTTTATATGTTATACTGTTGTACATGTATATATATATATGTGTGTTGTTGCTGTTGTAGTTGTAGTTGGTGTAGTTGTAGTTGTAGTTGTAGTTGTAGTAGTAGTAGTAGTAGTTGTTGTTGTTGTTGTTGTTGGAGTTGTTGCTGTTGTTGTTGTTGTTGTGTTTGGTGTTTGTTGGTAGTTGTTAGTTGTTAGTGGTGTGCTGTTTTGTGGTGTGACCTTGCACTGACTGGTTTGTATCACTTGTCAATCCTGATCTTTGGCCCACAGGGCTCAAAAGCTATTTGCAGCAACTTGCACTTGGCACTTGATCACTTGATACCCTCTGGTTATGTCAAAATAGCTATTGAACATGGCCATTTATAGTGAGTTTTCCCATTAAAAATGGTGATTTTCCATAGTTTCTTGTATGTTTACCAGAGTGTAACTTCAAACTCTTTTACTTATCCCAAACTTTCTCAAATGTTTCAAAAAACCTCAGGATTTGTCAAAAAACCTGTTGTTTCTGACTTTTGGGGAATCAGTTCAATACTAAGGCTCTTATATAGATTTTTCCTATTAAAAAAAAAAAAACATACTGATCTAGACCCTAATGTCCACATGGAGCTATATAATAAACCACCCGGAATAAAGTACGCCAACTCCCGGAAAAAATAATAACCCCCCCCGTAATAAAGTATGCAATTTTTTTCCCCGATTTTTTCCGTTTTTTTTCCGTTTTTTGTCCCCCGTTTTTTTCCCGTTATGTATTCGTTTTCAATTAGGCAATTCATTTGTGAATACTAAAGTGGAAAGAAAGTTCCCTTTTATGTATAGTATTCGTTTTCAATTAGGCAATTCATTTGTGAAAACTAAAGTTCCAAGAAAGTTCACTTTATGTATTCGTTTTCAACTAGGCAATTTGTTCGGCGCCACATAGGTCTGAAAATTTTCCAGGAACCCTAGGTGAATGTTTGGCCTAAACTTTATTGTGATGCTCTTAGTGTTTGGGGGGGGTTATTAATGCCATGTTGACATTACTGATCTAGGGCTGGTCTTTGCTTCCCTGAATAAACTCCCACTACCCTCTGGTAATTTAACGTAGCTATTGAAAATGGCCATTAATAGTGGATTTTCCCATTAAAAATGGTGATTTTCCATAGCTATGTTAGTTTACCGGAGGGTATTTCACCTTCCCCGCAGCACCACGTCCTGTTCTCAGCAGCACCACGATGGGTTTTCCCGTGGCCGCCACTGCTTCGGCCAGACGCTGCTGCGCCGCCGGCACCACGATCTGCGTCCGACTCTGCGACTCGCCCGAGAAGTCTTCGGGCTCACCCAACGCCAGCAGCACTACGTCGGCTCCTGGGTGCTCGACATCAAACCCGGGAGAAGAACTTCATATTAGCGTACATCCATTCATATAATATGGACAAATATGATTAAATATTGTATACTGTATATGTATATATATATATATATCTGTGAATCATAGGGTTTGTACATATCATATGTAAAGGATGTATTACTAGAATTGTGTGATTTATAAAAAACTACGCGTATTTACCTGGGTATTCTCCCGTTACAAGTGGGTCATCCAACAATGTAGGTGTATCTGAAAATGGGGTAACGATATCCCAATTTCTGGAAGTTTAATATGGAACATGACGCTTGACTAGTGGAATTGTAGGGTGTGTGGCACTGGGCTCCAGCCTTTTCCAGGAAAGAATGTAAAATTGAAAGGAAAGCATGGACAACCTCAGACAACCCAGAAACCAAGTCAAAATTGGTCAACCAAGCCTAGAGCAACAGCATTCTCCAAACCTTTCACCAACTGTTGCTGTAAATGTCTCGTCTTTGATTATATCCCATCATTCGGTAAATGATATGAGTCATATGAGTGTCTAAAAAAAACTAATTCCATAACTAATCAATATCTCAAAGCTACAATCTACTCCTATCCCAAGTATTCCCATCCCAGTGTTCTAGTCCCGTCGTTCCGTCACGTTGTTCCTACCATGGAGAGGCTGGGGAGGCCCAGCGTCTTCTTGCAGCCATGACAGCTTCTTCAATGCCGCTCTCCGTGGCAGTTTCGATCTCGCAGCCTTTCACCACCTCCAAATCCTGCGACGGGCGAAAAAGGCGAAAAACTCCGAGGTAACAAAACACTGAACCAAAAACACCTGAAAACTACAAGTGTATGATATATTAGAACAAAAGTAAATACCGTGTTTTTGGTATACCTAAGATATTAGAACAGTTTTACTAAGAATCTTTAGGTATGCCTAAAAATGCAAGTTAGAATAAAAGAATATACCGTAATATAAAGTATATGTACTCATATAGCTATATAAAGTACATATAAAGATTTACTCTTATCCCGGTTTTAAGCTGTAAAATGCAAGTAAACGAACGTACATGAAAATACTGTATATCTGAAACCAGTTACAGATTTACATAAGATGTCTATAATATGACTATGCGCTAAATGGATCTAAATGGGTGATGAGGTTCTCATCACTATATCTCTGAAATCGGGGCTGTTTAGCTCCCCCTTAAGTCGACGGATTTCAATCATGGCTCCCAACAGCGTACCCATGAGATCCCATGAGCTATGGTCAGATTGCAATGTCAATGGAGCATGTCCTCATATGCCAGTCTTGTTGGGGTAGATCATCGGCTAGTTTCAACTAAAATTATAGGATGTAAATATAATATTATATGTAAACCGTTCGGTTTACCTTGTCCAGCTGATGTTTTCAGCCGTCCCAAACATCAAAAAAGGATGTAAATTGAAAAGTCAGCCGTGCTGTGGGCAAAAGGTACAGTGGCGTTTCCAACGCTGATAGCCGTGCTGTGGGCAGCATGTCAACTTGGATCAACCCAAATGGGGAAACGAAACCACCAGGCATATCCTGAGAATTCAAAGGAGTATAGCAACTGCCTGATGGTATGATATACTATAGTAGTATCATGTAGTATCCTATGATATACTATCATACCATAGTTTCAACTCATATAGTTGAAGATACTACTGATATTAGTATTAGCAACTCTTGATATGTCAAAGATGTCCAAACGAGAAAAACCTCTTGTTGGCTGAATCCCCATTTCTGCTGGCTATATAATTTGTAATAATGAATATTAATGAAGTTTGAAAAATATTCTGTACTATAATAGAACATAAATAGTACAGACAATAGTACATAAATACTTTAATAGTACATAAATAATATTTGTAATATAATAAAGTTTGATAAATAGTACAGAATACACATACCTGGCACCAACTGCCCAAGCCCCATTTCCGAACAGTGCTCCTCCGGTGTTTTCATCGCTTGCTTCAGCCCTACATCTACAGGCACCGCCCGGGCCTTGTCCCCGTAGACGGTCCAGCATCCCTGTCAGGCACAAAAAGGCGACCCCAAAATGCTGGAAAAGATGGTGGTTTCCAGAAATGGGGATACCCCAATTCATGGTTGGTTTATAATGGAAAATCCTATGAACATTGATGATTTGGGGATAGCCCTATTTTAGGACACCTCTATATTGGAAGAAACAATGGGCAGAGAGTCCGAAAGGACTTCTTACTGCTACTAGTGACTGGTACTGAAGAGTACTGAAGAATTTAGTGGATGAATCGGATGAATGCATCTCAATCGAGATAAGTGGGATAAGTGGTCATGAATGCTCAAATACCCAAAGGATCCCAATGGATCCCAAAGGATCCCAAAGGCAATGGCTCACTGAATCTGTCAACCTGACAGAACACCGGTGACTGGGATGACAGAACAATGGTCCCTTGCTGGTGATGATAAGATGCTTGGGGATATTGATTATACTTGGAGGATCATCCCACGAATCGCCAGAAGTGGTTTTATGAAAACCATCGTTAGTAAGTCCCCTAGCTGCAGTTATCTCATGTATAACCCATAGGATCCATGGTGCTGCTATATATGGTAACATGGATCCCATCAATATACCCCAAATGTTAGCATATATATATATATACCATACATGGATCCTATGGGCTTATAAGTGGGTTAATGATGGTTAATGTGGGTGAACTAACCCCGGTTACTGACCACAAAAAAGCGATCGATGGGATGATCTTCTCCAAGTTAGCCCCTGCCACCCAAATGACCCTCATTTGGAAAGTTTCCAAAACTGGAAGGTCAAACATCCAAAAAATAGGTGTCATCTGAAACATGTGGTTTCCAAGATGTTCTATGCCGAAATGCATGGGATGAATCACCCACCTTCACCCACATTCACAGGTTTGCTCCCAACATCCAAGGTACAGTACAAGGGGGCTCAATATTGCTCAATGCTCTAAATACAGAAGTAAAATGGCTCATTTTCACCCCTGCTATCACCTATAGTGACTATAGTCAACTGGGGCCACATCCACCTCCAACAAACCAACGTCTCCGCCCAGATCGGCCTGAAGATTCTCTTGATCTGCCGCGAAAGGTCCGATCAGCGCGATCTTTTGACCTGGGAATGCCGGCAGCTCAATCGAAAAGTGCCGGAGAACGTACACGAATTAAACATCATTAAACCACATACACGAATTTAAATAAGTGTCAATTATAGGGTTTACCACTATATATAACTATAATTAAATCAAAAAAAATTAGGTAAAGCCTACAATAACCATGGGCCATGTTTCTCGGTTGTATAACCATCCCCGTTTGTGGTAGGTTTATTATTGGATTACCGGTTTACCATATACATTACCCGTATATAAGTCTTCCCTAAAGCTAGAGGTACCATGTGGTATTTAACATAGCCATGGAAATCACCATTTCTAATAGGTAAACCATCTATAAATGGGCCATTTTCCATGGCTATGTTAAATAACCAGAGGGTACATCAAATCATCCAAAATGTTCAACACAATTTTGTATTGAAACCCATGGGTTGAAAGTACACGCGATCTTCGGAATATCCACATCTCGACTAAATGAGTTCAATTCCTACATCAGAAAGAAGCACGTTTTGGGATGATTCCCCTTGCTGTACCCTCCAGTAAACTAACATAACTATGGAAAATGTTAGGTAAATCATCTACAAATTGCCGTTTTCAATAGCTATGTTAAGGTATAGGAGGGTACCAAGCATCATTTATGGTGAGGTATCAACAGTTGCCCCTGGCTCCCAGGAGTTTCGAAATGCGGATTCGTTTGACTTTTGTAGGTAGATGTTTGAATTTGCGCCAGAAAATCCCAAGATTAAACTATATAACAACCAAAAAAGGACGGAAACGGCAAAATTATATTTTGCTTAATTTGGTAAACCCAGCAATAGTTGGTTAACTGTCCTCGAGTGAAGGTTGGGTTTACGACGTGAGCAGTGTTCAAAACCCTCTGTCATCCCTTCCCATTCTGGCGGGTTAATTGGATTTCCCATAATAGATTGTGATAATCCATATTGCTGGGTAAATTATAATATTTCACTAACCTGAATTAAGGCCATTTGGGGATGATTTCCCTTATTTACCATGATTCCAGGGTGAGGTCGCAGTGAGGTCGTTATAATTTACCTATATATATATATAATATACATACTGTACATATATACTGGTTGGTTACTACATATTCCGATTATGGGTTGCCCCTGGCTCCCAGGAGTTTCGAAATGCGGATTCGTTTGACTTTTGTAGGTAGATGTTATAATAAATATGTTATAATTTACCCAGCCATAATGGATTGTGATAATCCATCACTGGCCATCTCAGGAACCGATTGATTGGAGGTACCTACCATATATTTTTGGCTTATTTTTCAGGCTTAAATTTCAGGGAATATCTTCAGAATTCATATGGCCTCTTATATATATGAGTTGTGTTTTTTTTCTGATGTAGGGTGTTATCATTTTATAGGTACCTACGCGAGGCTTACATTTCGCGTACGCGCGCACAATTTCAGCCTACGCGGAAGCTTGGGTGGGGATAGGTTGCCTACACAGGCCTACGCGCGTGAGGTTTTATGCAATTTTTAGCTAAATATGCCTACGCGCCCACAGTCTCAGCAACATTTTCGTATGATTGCGCACCCTTTTACAAAGCTGTTCATGATCCAATGATCGCATTAAAAACAATGAGGAGGAAGAGGGCCATGTGCTTATTCATTGGTTGTTACATGGTGAGAAGACATTAGGCAACTACCTATTTCGCCAAAAATGCATCGAGCACGTTGAGCGCACGCTTTTTTTCCAGTCCGCAGATGACTCAAACGAAGAGGAGGAAGAGGAACTTGAAGAAAAAGAAGAAGAAGAAGTAAAAGAAGAAAAAATGATTCCGCAGGTGTAAGACGCTGGTTCTGCCGTCGCTTCTTGGCAGCAGGGAAACAACATATAATATTATACGTTGCAGGAGCATGTTTGGGGGCATCCCTGGTCATGAGAGTTTTGCCTACGCGTTGCCTACTTTTCGCCTACGCGGTGCCTACGCGGGGGAGCTCCTTTATTTTCGGATTTTGGCCATGCAAACTTCGAGGCTTGAGACTCTGCAGAAAAGGGAACGGCATAGTTCCATTAGCTTTTGTTTCTCAGCAAAACAGTTGCTATCTTCTAATTACTTGTGTTTTTTGGACAGCGGAAATTTCACATGCCGCATCGAGCTACACTCATTAGACCCTTCAATCTTGACCCACAGGCTGCAAAATTCGTCGAATCCGCGGTCGCCTACGCGGCGTCTGCCGCGAAATGAAGCAAAATATGCCTACGCCAGCCTACGCACCCCAGCAAACTGCCTACATCCAACCATGTGCAGGTCAACTTTCATATAAATCTTTACTTGTAAAAAAAAAACTCTGCTCATATGGTATTATATGGTAAACTTTACGTAGCTCCATTCAATCGGATCCTGAGTCATTCCCATTGAAATCCATATCCCATAGGATCCATGTATGGTATATATGCTAACATTGGGGGTATATTGATGGTAAATGTTACCATATATAGCATACATGGATCCTGTGGGTATTGGCTGTTGGTTGGGTTTGGTTAGATATGGATCCCCTGCAACCAACAGATCCAACAGATCCAACAGATCAGCGGTTTCGAAGACTTCCTGGAGGATCATCTCACGGCTCAGTGGGTTTTTCCCATTTATACAGATTATACAGTAAATAGCTTACAAATGGTTACAAGTTATACCTAGTTATAACTAGTCTATGGTGAATTTTGAGATACCTGCCAACAAAATCTCCAAACATGAAATTTTGGGTCAGTACATTTTACCATTAGAGATTGAAGTACTGATTATCTAACCAGTTGCCGACGACCCAGCGGCAACTTGGGACCGATCCCTTGGATCCCTTGGATCCCTTGGATCCCTTGGATCCCTTGGACACGACCTGGCCTGACTTCTTCAAGGGCAGCACATCTCCATCGTTCTTCAGCAACACCATGGAACGCCTCGCAGCGTCCCGTGCCTCAGCGTCCCTTGCTGGCGGAGAAAAAATTTGGACACCTTGAGGTGAACTTCAAATGTGTCACACCAAAATTTCCCGTTCGAATGACGACATGGTATGAAATGCTGGCTTTTCCACAAGCGTTTGTTTTTTTTCCGGAGAGTTCTCAGCCACTAAAATCACCCAGTCAGTAGCTACAGAACTAGTAACTAGTTGGTTCTTAGTGCCAACATGTCCAATTTTGACCTGAAGAGTCTATTGAACATCATTGTACCACGTCAAATCGACAACAAAAGATGTTTGAACCCAGCAATCGGCAATATATCAATATCAACTACAATTTCCCCGGTGGAGATGCTCAAAATATCTCAAAAAAAACATGTTCTTCGGTAGTATTCTAAGATTCCTCGATCGGTCGCCCTAGGTGGCTCTGATGACGTGGTAGATACCATGTCAACAAGGAGGTTGCCCTCGTTTGGGAAACAGTTGTTAAGATTGTTACCCTCTGGTAAACTAACGTAACTATGGAAAATCACCATTTTAATTGGTAAATCCACTATAAATGGCCATTTTCAATAGCTATGTAAACGTTTACCAGAGGGTAAGGTATGTGGCCAAATGATAACGTTTGCCAAACACTCTTCAGTCTTGGGCGGTTTCTCCAGAAACATCGTTTGGGTCATTTCTGGGACTTGCTTGACCCATCCCCACAGAGTATCATCCACGAGTGTTGACTTACTGGTGCTAAACGTAGGGAATGGATGGGTTGCTGGGGGTTGCTGGGATGATTATTCATAGTTATTGTGGATCATTCCCGAAAATTCCCTACTTTGCACCAGTAAGTTGAGACACATCAAAACACCAGGGTGCCAACTCATCATGCTCCAGCGTCAGCTTCTTCAAGCTCTTCTCACGTTCAAGGTCTAAACATTTGTAGGGATTGTCGAACAAACCTGGAAAACGTAAAGGTCGACAAAAAGAAGCGCACACCATGTAACCATGAGATATGGGGCGTTCAGTAAATTGTTTCGCTGTTGAAGATAGTATGGACTATTACCCTAGATGCTGCAACTAAGAAGTGAATGGATGTATTGGAGCGGACTGAACAAGGAGGTCTGGAGTGAGATCGATGTAATTTTATCCAGATAATCCCATCACATCCCCATTACACCACAATTTTGATATTTTTGTTAGTTCAATCGCCATGTTAGATGCTGAAATCCCCCGTTTTCTTGGTTAAACCACCATTTCATGGATCTATCCTATCCCATTGTACTGGTTGGGTAGTAAATATTCTTACATACTGTGGCTGTTCCATAATCCCATATACCCTCTGGTTATTTAACATAGCTATTGAACATGGCCATTTATAATCAGTTGATTTACCTCTTAAAAATGCTGATGTTTCATAGCTATATTAGTTTACCGGAGGGTAATCCCCATTGTGAATCAGCTCATATAATCCCCTTCTTCGTAGCCGATCACCAGTTGATCGACCAAACGACACCCGGCCTATGGCTCTCTTGACCCGCAAGATCCTTCGAACTCCTTCCGGGCAGTTACTTGGAGGATCATCCCGCGAATAGTTATAATATGTTATAACCCCATAATGTGGTTAAAACAATGCCATAAATTTAAACCACCCATGACTGGGAATGGTAACCATACCACCTACAAAAATGATGATGACTGGGGGATGGTGTATTATTGTTCTAACCACATTATGGCTATTTCATAGCATGATACATCCAGCTGAGATCATCCCGCGAATAGTTATGCGGATGATCCTCCAGGTACCATGCAGAAAAACCTGCGATCAAACGTCCTTCTTGGATCATACCCTTCGGTGTCATCAAACGTGGGAAATCCACGTTAAGTAACCATGGAAAATCATGGAACTATAGCTGGTGGATTTTTCAGCAAACTATGTCATGTGTTTGATTACCGGGGGTAGACAACCCTTGCATCTTACTATGGAAGATTATGGAACCCAAATATGGAATTCAAAAAATGCCAAAAACAATAGGCCAAACATCGTCCAAACCAGATTTCTGGGATTTGATTACATGTCAAGTTTGTACCTTTTCAAATGTAAATGTTGAATATTGCCATCTTTGATCTGTGCATCGATGTATCCGAATTCTATCGGTGACAGAACCAGACTGCAGGTCATGCCAACTACCTAAGCCCTATGCCGATTGATGCACAGCCAAAGTTTAGATCTAGAATCAATTTTTGCATCGCCTGAATTCCGCTCTTGAAATGGGAAAGCGTTTTTGAAAATAGATGCCCTGTTTGAGGTTGCAGTTGGGGGTTCAAGTTCCAAACCATAGCATTGACCAGACTGAGGGCGCCTATCCAGAGTGTGTATAAGATGAATGTCATAATCATATCCTGAAAAAATATAACTAAAGGACCGGATAACCCCACATGTCAATTTTTCCAATTGGTCACAAAAGAAAGGTGAAGATAGAATGGGAAAGGGAGGAAAGAGACACGAGATGGTGAAAGGTACGTATGAAAGACTTGCGTGTGTGAGAGTCGTTTGTATGTTTGTATGTTTGTGTGTGTGCATGCGTGTATGTGTATGCATGTATGTGTGTTTGTGTGTATGTGTGTGTATGTATGCATGTATGCATGTAATGCATGTAATGTATGTAATGTATGTAATGTATGTAATGTATGTAATGTATGTAATGTATGTAGTGTATGTAATGTATGTAATGTATGTAATGTATGTAATGTATGTAATGTATGTAGACAAAAATCCGCGGAAAAAACGCCAGCGTCGTGTCCTTCGTCCACTTCTTCCATGGTGACCTGACCCTTGGACACCAACTCAGGAAGATGTTCCACATACCTTGGCGTTTCGCCAGGGAGTCGTTGTTTTAAAGTACCCTCTGGTAAACATACAAAAACTATTGAACATGGCCATAGAAATAGTTGATCTACCAATTAAACATGGTGATTTCCATAGTTATGTGGCCGTTTACCAGAGGGTAAGCATGGAGGACATCGACCGTGCTGGCACAATGTATAGGAAACATTGTTCTATTCTAAAAACTAAAGTAGTTCTTGTTGTTTACAGTTTCTGAAGACTGAGCGAATGTTTCATGATTTTCGGAGGAAACTGTGAAAAACAAAGCCACAAATGATATTATATATCTGTATCTATTGCGACTGTTTATATCCCACGAATAAACCATATATATATACAACCAAAATTCATCCAAAATTCTATGGAGTATGGGCTATCTTCATCTCCAAGTGTTGAGCATCAATCTCAGTATCCTGTGGTTTGTAAATATCTTTAGTCGCAATCCCATGAAAAATATGGTTCGATCACATCAGCATATTCCAGTTCCAACTGGTGGATCAGGGCAATCGCCCCTGTTTTCCCCAAAGTCATTTTCAATTAGATCCCAATATTCCCTTATTATATCCCCATAAAACGGTTGGTAAACATCCCTATTGGAATGAACCAGCCCATTTTCTTCCGTTGCGTTTGCCACAATCCCAATTCTATCCTCATTTGTGTTGATCAAATTTGGTTAAATCAGAATTTGGCATCTTAAATCCCATTTTGTTGGTCAAACCCAAATTCTGTTGGTATATGGGGGTTTCCTGGAATGGGGGGTACCCCCAAAGGGATCGTTTAATGGAAAATCCTACTATATAAAATGTATGATTTTTGGGGTACCCCTATTTTAGGAAACTCCATAATTATTATACACCTACTGGATTATGGTTGATTAATATCATTTCCAGCGACGTCGCATTGAGGTCGCTACAATTTGTCCAGATAATCCCCATTATATCCCCCATTATATCCTACCATGTCCGCAAGTCACAAGCCACCCTGCATGGTTCATTATATCCCAGTATATTCCGTTATAACTATATTTCAATACATTCCAATACATTACATGATATCCCAAAAAAAAATGTTGGCTATGATCCGCCCAAACGATTAAATACCGGTTTTTATTGGTTAACACGCCATTGTTATCCACTGTTGGTCGAATAATTTTGAACGGCCAAGAGAGCATGATAAATACCCCAAAGGATCCTGAGTCACAATCCCAATGGGCAAATCCCCGTGTTATTGGCACACGTTGGCAGTTTTTATCCCTATGGTTGGGTTAACGTCGGAATGGGAATACTGCTGAGCCTGCTGTCCCAATGAATCATTGTGGGTTACATCCCATTTTCGCTGATTGAAAAATCACCTTGATTGGTTGAACTCCCCCAACTTCCCCAAGTGTTTCCGCTCAGTGATGTCGACTCCAAATTTTATTCTTGCTGGTTTTACCCTTTCTCCTATCTTCATTACATTTCTAGCAATTATATTCCCATCAAGTAACCTCTGTATGGATTAGCAGTGACCACCATGTTTGGCAATCATCGCGATATGCATATCATATCATATCATATCATATCAATGTTATGGTTGGCGAACATCCCCATGAGAAAGTTCACCAAAAAAACAATAATTTCGATATAAGAGTGGATGTGCAACACGGCTCGCGAAATCGAAGCAGCCACTCAGCCACTCAGCCACTCTGCCAGAGAGGCTGGACCAGCCACTCAGCCACTCAGCCACTCTGGCAGAGCGGCTGACGCAGCCACTCAGCCACTCAGCCACTCTGAGTGACTGAGTGGCTGAGTGGCTGGTCCAGCCACTCTTACCAGAGCGGCTGCGGCAGAGTGGCTGAGTGGCTGGTCTAGCCACTCTGAGTGACTGAGTGGCTGAGTGGCTGGTCCAGCCACTCTTACCAGAGCGGCTGCGGCAGAGTGGCTGAGTGGCTGGTCTAGCCACTCTGAGTGACTGAGTGGCTGAGTGGCTGGAGCGCCATTGGAGTGTAAGCAATATTACCCAGACCTAATTTTTCTTAGGTCTTGGTAGTATCTCAAGTGAGGTTTTATGCTAATTTAGGGCTTCATCCAGGCACTGGGGCATATATTCTTATGGGTTGAATGGAATCTTAGGCAAACAGGCAAGCATCTGTGTTAAAGGGTTGTGAGAAAGAAGTCATTAGTCATTTGTGTTAAAGGGGTTCGCTCTGTGGGTCTCTGCGAATCATCATGGCGAAAGGAATGAGACATTTGGTTTTAGTTCCAATGTTTTCATATATGTATGTTATTAAAGAAATTATATATAAATATATAGCTAGACACAAACACACCTAAGGTCATATCATCCACCTCCATCATTTCATCGTTTACCACTGTTCATTTTCACAACAGTTCATATCATTTCATCACAGTATCAACACAAAATAAAACCACATAATTTCATACATCATCATCCCACATCATTTCATCATCATCCATCATCACATAAATTCATATCATAAAATTTCATCATAATGTTTCATCATAATATATCATTATAACATAATATCATAAATCTAAATAATCCACGTCTAACATTCCTGTGTTCGTATCATAAATGTTCATATATTATGATATGAAAAATTATGGGGTTAAAGTCGTTTAAAGCTTTTTGGTGTAATGGTTTTCCAGATTTGTTTCAATTTTGCAATTCTGGTTTCATCATCTTTTAAGTATTCCTCCATATATGTTTGTTTTTTCTCTTCTTCCTTTTTGAGTTTTTCCTTGTTGGAATGCCTGTCGGTTTTAAGATGTTTGGACAACCTGCATTGTTTCACATGCCGTTGGCAAATGTCGCAGAATACTTCCTTTTGATTATATACTTTGTTACTCTCCTTTTGTTTGTCCAAGCATTCAATACACATTCTATTCATTCCATTGAACTCGTCACCATGTTTGTTTTTCTTACACTTTGTGCACTTTCTACTCTCCATACTATTATAAGGTATTATCCATTTAATTTCAAGTGTATTTCGTTATATCATAAAAATTCATATTATCTGATATGAAAATTTATGGGGTTCAAATATAAATTCCTTGTTGCATTCTTTCATACACTTTGTCAAACTTATTCTCGTCAATAATTGTATTTCCAATAAACTGTTCATTGTCTTTGATATACAACAATATTTTTCTTAAACTATATACAGGTTTCATGATTAAAGTTATCATCCATACAATCAGCATCATTAATATTCATTTCTAACATGCAGAATGCAACAGTAGGATATGAATTGTTAAAACATTTTTTTCAATCCTTGTCCATAATCTTGATAATGTCTCATTTCTTTTTCATTTAATATTAAATTCATTTTATCATCTGGAAATTCATTCACTAAAGTATTATAAACGTATATTTGAATTTGCTCATCAATATCATCATCGTCACAAGGGCTAATATCAATTTCAATTGAATCAAAATGACTCATTATATTTGAGCAACTTTTACAGGCTACATATTCACAAATTTTATTACCAATACCATCAGTAAAATTATTTTTGATAATTCATCTTATTGTTGCATATTCACTACATTTACAGCTTAATATTTTTGTTTGATGTATTCTTCTTGGTTGATTTCACGTTCACTACTTGTATCACTGAATGACATTTCGCTAATATATATATATATATAGATAGATAATATTCCTTTAAGTAGATTTCCTATAAATGGTAATTTATATGTTCAGAAGTTCATGCCTTAATAGTGGTCTATTGTATCCTTCTAATGTATAATATGTTTGATTCAATTTTTCATCAGTGGACTCTACTGTATACTCACCTTTCAAAAAGTGTGAGGTTCTCTCCTTCTCCGTTGTTGCTTTCTTCCTTTTGATTTTTACTTTGTCTCCCACAGATAGTTCAGGATAGAGCCTCTGTTTCTTTGCTTTCATTGCAATGTTTAATTTTGATTTGAATTCATTGTCTTTATCTCTGGCTTTATACGGTGTTTGACCAGTAGCGGAATGCACATCTTTATTATTGTAAGTTAACATAATTTCATCTATGTAGTCTATCCATTGTATATTCGTTTTTTATTCTTTTCATCGTTCTCAACTCTTTTGCATAATTTGTCTTTAAAGGTTTTTATAAATCGCTCGGCAAAAACAGGGTGGCCTCTTGTCCTATACAATTCAATGCTTTCGTTTTCTACATATGCTTGGAATTCACCACTTGCTATAGCTTTCTCGTCGTCGGTGTATATGATTTCAGGTTTCTTGCCCATCTTCTCTATCGCTTTCTTTGTTCCTTGAACAACACTGCCTGTCTCTTTCCTTCTTACTGGGACTACGACAGCATACTTACTCAAACAATCAATAAAAGGTAAAACAAAGATACAGAGCTGGATTAGTCTGTATTGAATACAGACTAATCCAGCTCTGTATCTTTGTTTTACCTTTAAATATTTTTTGGAAATAAAGAATATATCAACTTGGTATCTATGATTGTTATGTGGAGCAACAAAGCTGTTATAGCCTCTCGGGTTCATTTTTATCTCTACACTTTTTTTGAAAAAACCTTCAACATCTTTCATAGTAATAGATTTGTTTTTCTCTCTTGCATCCTTCAAAGTAGTGTTTTTGGAACCAAACCCTGCTTTATAAAATATATGTTTCCTATGATTTCTTGCTTACTCATATCAATATTTTATTAAGGTTATTCTTTTGAAAAAAATCTATAGCGACGGACATATACTTAGAACATCAATTTTTCTAAAATTTCGGAACCTTTTCTTAGAACATCAAAATTACTATACTTAGAACATCAGAAATGTTCTAAGTACGCACTTAGAACATCAGAAAAACAGATACTTAGAACATCTCCTTTGATTTTTTGCATACTTAGAACATTAAAACACACATATACTTAGAACATGTCCTGTTACTTTGGTAAATCTGCATGTATACACACAAATACCTTGGTGAACACCATACTTAGAACACTTTCTCCCCTCACTGCTGCAGCATTCTATACCTTTTCTTCGGGAACAATATCCCAAGCAGTCTTCGCTGCAATGGGAAGGTCTCTAGTATATAATTTGTGGGTTTCCTACAGGGGGTAGTCAAAAAGCATAGGTTTCAATACTAAAATGAGCTAAAATGAAGTATGTATAATTTTGAATGTTTTGGAGATGCCTCATAGTGTATATATATTTATAATTAGCGACGGACAAATATTTCGAACATACATAAATGTATGGTTCCCATTGGTTCCCCACTGGGATGTTCTAAGTATAGCTTGGAAATGTTCTAAGTATAGGTTTTGGGTATGTTCTAACTATTTTTTTCGACCCCATACTTAGAACATCCCCGCTGTGACGATTTTCAGATTTTTGTTTTTCCAAATGATGTTCTAAGTATTTGTCCGTCGCTATAATGTGAAGAAGAATTGCAGTGGCAACAATAAGCCTCGCAGTTGTCAATAGAATGGCGCAGTCCATTATCACCTCTCTGCGCCGTAAAGTTACTTGACAATTTGCCACCTCTGGTATCAAGATTAAATTTAACTCCACAGTTTGCACAACAACCCTTGAACATCTTCAAACATGTTCATCAATGTATTCATCAACTATTTCTCTTCCTCCTTTTCTGTTTTTCCTTTGTAACCTTCAACCTTGTTTTTAAAATAGTTAACTACCAAATTCTTAAACATATCTTCGTCGGCTTTATCATTTTTGAAAAAATACATTATTGAAATCTGTTGCTCTGGTTACAGCACACCATAGCCATTCTTTGCTCACCAAATAGTCGTTGCAATAGTTGTTTCCAATTAATCCTGAACTTGTAGAGTTCATCACCACTCTCCTTCTTTTTAAGTGATTTCAGGTTATGGTTCAAAGTGTATATGTGGTTGTTCTTAATCAATCCGTTGAAGTTATGTAGCCATGGCAGTTGAAGTTTAGAGGGTTATGTTTGTAAATCAAGTTGCTGTCAATGTCATATACTCTTGCTTGGATATTGAAATGTTTAAAACTTTATCCGTCCATTTCATTGATTGATGACTCTGCCACACCCAGCCGCTCTGCCAGAGTGGCTGATGCAGCCACTCAGCCACTCTGCCAGAGTGGCTGGAGCAGCCACTCAGCCACTCAGCCACTCAGCCACTCAGCCACTCAGCCATTCTGCCACAGTCGCAGCCACTAAGCCACTCAGCCACTCTGCCAAAGTGGCTGACGCAGCCACTCAGGCACTCAGCCACTCAGCCATTCTGCCACAGTCGCTGCCAGAGTGGCTGGAGCAGCCACTCAGCCACTCTGCCAGAGTGGCTGGAGGAGCAGGCACTCAGCCACTCAGTCACTCTGCCAGAGTGGCTGGAGCAGCCACTCAGCCACTCACCCACTCTGCCAGAGTAGCTGGAGCAGCCACTCAGTGGCTGGAGCAGCCACTCAGCCACTCTGCCACAGTCGCTGGAGCCACTCAGCCACTCAGTCACTCAGAGTGGCTGAGTGGCTGAGTGGCTGCGTCAGCCACTCTGCCAGAGTGGCTGAGTGGCTGAGTGGCTGATGTGAAAATTTCCGCCATTGCGCGTTCAATCCGATATAATATAATGTATGATCCCCAATATTATCTCCACTGTTTGAGAATACTGCGAAATCACAATTCCCAATTCTATCTCCGCTACATCTCTAGTAATTACAAATCCCCATTAAGAAACAATATTGTCGGTACATGTCTACCCCTATGGGTGAACATCCCCAAGTGACGCTGCTGCATGCTGCTTAATCACAGTCCGCTCTGCATGCTCATGTCCACGCCGGCCGTGAAGGCCAAACGCGCTGCATCCTTTCCGTCGGCTGCGAAGCCGTGGTGGATCAGCTCCTCGTCGGCGGTGTAGTCCTGGCTGTCATATATGATGCAAGGTGGCCCTTTGGGAAACCATAGGCAAATGAGCAAAAATGAAGATTTCATTAAGGTGGGGCCGCCTTTGCGAAACCATAGGCACATGAACAAGAATGAAGATTTCATTGGATTTTGATGGGGATACTTTAAGGGGATATAGTCATCCTGGAGTAGATACAATATGGAAATAATCCTAAATTCTTCAGATCTACTTGAAGGCTCATATGGGTTGCTAAGTATTTAGTCTATTTACTAAGTAGTTAAACAACTTACTATCTAGTTAGTTGACTTAGCTATGACAAATATAGCTAACTTAGTAACTATAATAAGTCTGGCCTATTTAATTTATTTCTTGGGTCGTTTCTTAATTCCCTTATTTCCAAGCCAGAAATAGGGTGACCTCGGGGGAAATAAGGAATTATGGGCGTCGGGTGTGAGTGTTTCCCGGTGCTGCACCAGCGCCAAATAGTCACCTGGCCAGAGAGCACACACACACATGTTAGAGGCAGCAATGTCTTCCCAATGGGTAATCATTTAACTTTGCAATGCTCAAAATAGGGACTCCTACGATCAGAGGTTCCATCAAGCGAAATGACTCAGAATTGAAAACTAGGTCTCAGGGGCTATCTCATTGATTGCATGGTGACAAATCATATCTCGGGCTACATCTGGAAGGGTTGGGCATGGAAAAATCCCTAGCATGCTCCAAATTGGCACCTGTCAGGATCAGAGGTCCGATCATGCCAAATGACTCAGAATTGAAAACTAGGTCTCAGGGGCTATCTCATTGATTGCATGGTGATCAACCATATCTCGGGCTACATCTGGAAGGGTTGGGCATGGAAAAATCCCTAGCATGCTCCAAATTGGCACCTGTCAGGATCAGAGGTCCGATCATGCCAAATGACTCAGAATTTGAAACTAGGTCTAAGGGGCTATCTCATTGATTGCATGGTGACAAATCATATCTCGGGCTACATCTGGAAGGGTTGGGCATGGAAAAATCCCTAGCATGCTCCAAATTGGCACCTGTCAGGATCAGAGGTCCGATCATGCCAAATGACTCAGAATGAAAACTAGGTCTAAGGGGGGAGAGGAGGGAGAGGAGGGAGAGGAGGGAGAGGAGGGAGAGGAGGGAGAGGAGGGAGAGGAGGGAGAGGAGGGAGAGGAGGGAGAGGAGGGAGAGGAGGGAGGGAGAAGGACGGTCCAAGTCATAAAAACGTCACAAAAATTGCAAGATAATTGAACATTCCCTGGGAATCGATGATTGCAAATATGCACATTTGAGGCATGATGTCAACATGTTGCATACGGAGGCAATGATGCCAAATGTTCAATCAAATTTATTTTGGAACCCCTTAGTCTCTGGATATGTTTTTTGAGATTGTGTGTGTGTGTGTTACAACCCCAGTAAATCACCTGGATTCTTGGGTATATTTCTAATGATTCGGGCTCAACCTCAGCTGGACTCAGCTGACTCATCATTTCCCACGACGTTCCCCCCAAGATGCTTTGGACAATGTATTCAGGCTCAGCTATGCTAAAATGATTTTCCCTTTTGGTTTCAAATTTGATTTACACTAATGGTGTTTCTGAAAATGGGGAGTGTACTTGTAGGCAACAAGACCCATCAAACAAAAAGGGTATGGCCAGTTTTTTGGACAGTTCGCAAATCTTAGAATTCTTAACATCCAAATCAACCCTGGGAGGTTCACTCATCCTTTGCAATCTTTACCTGGGTTTGAAGTGCGCCAATTGCGCTTTTGCTCTATGCATACGATCAACTTGGGAGTCTTGCAAGCTCTGAATGGCAGTTTGCTGTCTCTACTTTGTTCCCATGGATGCTTGCCAGTGGTTTTTTATTGTTATCCAATGTGCTTCTTGGGATATTTAAATCTTTACCCAAAGTCCTTTTAGAATACCTGCCCTGATGCCTCGCCCAGGATTTTTGGAAAATGGCAACATGATGATGGGCGATTCTCAACTTCGAAGCTGCTGTGCCAGATTCAGATATTGGGCCCGGGTCAATCGCTATGAGCTACTCGACAATTGGAATTTGGGGGTTGGTGATTGAAAACTACATCCTGGGAGGTGGATATTAAACATTCGGGGCTGTAAGGGGTCATCCCAAAAACTGATTTGGTCTGTTGGTCGAAGATCTCGGTCGGTGGTCTTCTGTTAGGCGCACTGCGCTCCAAGTGTAGTCACCGGTCTTTACCCAAGAACTGCATTCCTGATGTTCTCGGTAGTGCACCAAAGGTAGCCTTGAATCTTTGGCCCGATGCCATCGCCTTGTATCTCTGCCATCTTTGGTTGGCCCGATGCCGTGGCCTTGCAACTCGGCATCACGACCAACCGGGTTTCATTTCGTAGAATGCCACAGTTTCCCTGACTGTAGAGCAGGAAGACCAAGAAGAAGTTGGCCATGTCAACACGAACCCAAAATCGAAAGTACCGAATTTATAATTTAACTTATGATGATAATGTGTAGTTTTACTTCTGGACCCCCCCTCTTTTGCCACAACTTAGGCATTCGCAAAATTTCTTTACAACTGGCTTGGTGAGCCATGACAACGGCTATCCATATTTGACGTGCAAGGCCTACAATGGCCGGGTATTTTTGGTATTCTGAACAACGTGCCTTGATGCGTTGTTGAATCAAATCGGTGATGATCAAGAAGTTACCCTTGCACTCAGCACAAGCAAAGCTATGTGTGTGAGCTTTGACCGTATAGAAAGATATGGTCGCTACTTGACAAATTCGGAAGCCCGGGATTTGCATGATGCACTAATGGGTACCATATATGGTTATATAATATACCAAAAATTGGCTCTTTTGAGCATTAGGCAAGGCATCTCACGGTGGAAGTTTATCCCCCAAACTACACTGTGTAGTTCACGTAGCTGAGGATGCACTTGCATTCAAATATAATTGCAAGTACCACCATTGTTTTAAAGATGAAGACAAACATCGGCCTTCTAAAAAAGTTGGCAGTGATGGTGGCCAAACCCCTTATGGAATGGCGAATCCTTTTGAGCTGGCAATTGAGATTGGTATCATGGATCCCAGGAACAGGATAATGATAAAATTCCAACTTCAAATTCTGTTTTCATGGTCCAACCCAACTTAATAAAAAAATCATTATGTGTTGATTATAATTTGGAAACCTGTTCCTCGATCCCACACCAGTTCAACCGAGATGCTGAGTCCAACTCGCTGTTGAGTGCCAGCGAAAGGGTCTTGACTTGGTGGGTTGGCTGGGACCTGCTGATGGGTACCCCCTAGGGATATCTATAAATTAAAGATGTGATGATCACCAATAGGATTAATACACCCTTCTAGCACATTATGGGAAGGAACATCCTCATGTTTGATGTTTGAAGCCTTCAAAACCCAGAAATTCAAATCCCATTAGATTAATGGATATTACCGTTAAATGGGGTTACCGCAAATGATCGTGATTTTTATAGTCGGTATGCATTATACATAGTCGGTATGCAAAAAAAAACACCTACATCAACAAATGACTGCAAATAAGTAGACCGAATGATCCCTAGGGATTTATTAGCATTTGATATTCTATCTATTTCAGGATGACTATATTTACATAACCAACATTATGATAATATATGACATGTGCATCGGGGATTGTAGTTAAGCAGTAGTATCAACGTGCCCGAGTTTCTTATTCAGAAGCAACAACAAGGAGATGTAAGCACCAAAAAAGTCGGAATTGATTTCACCGAGCACACATTTGTATTTTTAGGATTTTATAGTTGATTTGTGTGAGCTAAGTTGGTTTACTTCATATTAGGCAAACACTTCGGCGATTGTAACTATAGTTAGATGTGTTTATAACATGAACCAACTTATAACTAGGGGGCACCACCTTGCAGCATCTGGGGGACTGAACGAAGGCTGCGGTCGAACATGCCGTTGGAGCAATGAAACATGGGGTGGGGTCCCGTATCAACCATTTAGGTTAAACTTCTTTCCCCATGATGTGGGGTGAATGATGGTTGTAATGGCTCTGTAAACAAGGCAACCGGTTGACTTGGCGCCCTTGCAAGGGTGACGAATTTGAAATTCTGATTTTTGAGGCTAAGAGACAAAATGCTGGTATTTGCAGGAGTCGTCAAAAAATGCTTGCAACATGGACATTCATTTCGATTGGCAGGCGTGTGACTCAAGAGTGAAAAGTTGCGTTTCGCCTGCGCGGTGACTCAATTTTGCTCTTCAAGGGTCACAAAACACATTAAAAATCTATGATTTTCAATCATCCGAATCATATCAGGCCGACATTCACTCATCCAGTTGTTTCCTCTTCTCGACGCTTCAGTGCCAGAGCGCCTGTGGCAACGCAGAAGCCACAGACTGCAACAAGGCAGCATTGTCACGCCATGTCCAGCTGTAGGCCCAAGTGCATCTTTTTTTGTACACTTGTTGATTGTTTTTGACATAGGTCGCCATTTTCTGAGGCGTTTCCATGTTTCATCTATTTGTTGAGTACCAGCAACAATGGTTCTATAGGATTTACCCCACAAAGGACCTCGAAAATGATAAGTCTTAGTAAAGATATGTTGTTTGTGGTTGACTTGGGCCATCTTGAATCTTTTGTGGGGAGAATCCTTGGTGCCAAAATAGGTTCACGCAAGAAATCCAACAAAAGCACGTCAGAAAGCACGGCAACATGTTCCGTAACGTAAGGGAAATGCTCGTCAAGGGCGTTAATACACCCCCCACCCCCCTGATGATCATACGACAGCATGTGCAACGTGTACATGTTCCATAATGCAAGAGAAGTGCTCGTCAAGGACGTTAATACACCCCCCCCCACCCCCACCCCCTTGATGATCATACGACAGCATGTGCAACATGTCAAAGACGCCAAAAAATCAAATTCTATACCCCCATTTCGGAAAGCTTCATTTTTGAAATTTGCAACCCTTCCAAGGGATCGTAAATGGCACATCTCAAAATTAACAACCCTTCTAAGGGCGCCGTATCAGCCGCATGCCATAAACAACCGTCAATGTGATTTCATTTAGGTAGGGGGATTGACACAATGGGAAACTACAATATGATTGAATGGGATATCATGGAAATACAATGGGATATCATGAGAAATTCGTTGCATTGACCCAACGCAATGGATTTGATCTGAGCACGTAAACATCGGTACAATTTTTAGAGTTATCATGTGGATACCGTACGACATCAAGGCGATATGATCTGCAGTTGGTCTATTGGATGTCCCAACATCAACCAGTTGGGTTCTGTGTTTCCATATCGGGCAATGATACCCGACTTCAGGGGATATGATATACCCTCCGGTAATCCCGTTGCCATGATGGATGTTTTCTATCCAAGTTTGAGCCCCCAAGTAGTTATGGAAGTTTCCGAAGTCACAGAGGTACCCCCAAAATCATGTAGAAACAGAGCATTCGAGTATTGAAACCCATGGTTTTAGATGTTTTGGGGAATCCTAACCCCCCATATCTCAAACTAGCGTCATAGGGGTACCAAAAACTAATTTAGCTACCTAAATCCCATTAAATCCCATGACACATCGTCATTTTTGCTGGTAAAAGTGCCTACCTTGGCGATGCCAACCTGTGGAACCAGCCAAGGGTATCACTGAATTTCTCGAAGCTTCCGAGACTACGAAGCCTTTGAACCCCCACTCTTTGCGAAGGATCTCAGTCATGAGCCACCTGGACCGCAAAGGCTAGGACGCCCACTTTTTTTCGCTACGATGATCTCGATGTTCATCTACCCAAATATCTCCAAATATGGTATGTCAATGTATAATCTGCGGCTTCCCAAAGATGCGGGGTACCCATTTTTAGCTGGATGGTGTATAGTGGGAAGTGATGTTTTTTTTGATGGATGAGGTAACCGGGTACCCCCATGACTTTGGGTGAGATCACAGAGGGTGAAACCGGAAGTAAATGGATCCATTTGAGCAGCTGAAATTTCTACCCCTGGCAGGGTTGATGATTAGTTCGTAATTGAAATGGGATTTTAACCATGAACATATGGGGATATTAGTGAATATAACTGATAGATGATGGTTGGTTGATGATTAGTTTGGAGATTATACTACCCAGTATATTGGGGATTATTTCATAATCCAAGAACGGGGGGATCACCAAGTCTCCATGTTTGGATGTTGTTTCAATCCTCAAAATGGTCAAAATAGAGTCTAGTGACTCAAATGATTTGGAGTTACTCTCCCTCTGCTGATTCAATCTCCAATTCTTGGTGGTCAAACTGTCAAACTGTTTGACCCCATGATTTTTGATAAGTAATCCTCCTTGTCTGCTGGTGAAACACATTTTTGTTTGATGTTTGAAACCCTCTCTTTGATGCCTAATCAGATCAACATGTTGTCGTTGTTCCATTTTTTCTCGTTGAAATAATCTTACATCCACAAAATTGGATTGTATAATGAAATTCTTGTGAATCCAATAATGTTCAACATTTAATTTGTCGTTTTAAGTACGAAAAAACATTGCTCATCAACATGTTTGTACTTAAATCCAAAATTCACCATGTTGGATGACTCAAAGGAAGGCATGTTAGCCATTCTTGGTCAAGAAACCGGCATTGTTAACACTTCAAGCTCTAGTAACCTGACAAACTAACAAGTAACTAAGTAACCAGTCTTGAGTAGAAACGAAACTTCCAACCCTCTATGAAAAGGTTATCATTTATCTTGGTTTCCGCGGCATTTCCACATGGTGTCTCCATTAACTCCCAATTTTTTCTGGTTTCATCCACCCAGATGACCTGTTTCCAGTGGCCGGCACACCGGCAATGTCGTTGAAGGCGCTCATGAGCGTCAGCGCGCCCGCGTCCAGCGTGGCCTTGAAGGCGGGCAGATGGACGTCGCGCAGCGTGGCTTCGGAGAGATCCACGAAGTTGTACTCCATGCCTTGGGAGCTGAAGATCGGGTGCATCTGAAAACAGGAATACTATGGAATCCTCATAAAATGCCTAAATATATGGAATAACCAGGAATATAGAATAACATGGAATAACATGGAATAACATGGAATAACATGGAATAACATGGAATAACAGGGAATAACAGGGAATAACAGGGAATAACAGGGAATAACAGGGAATAACAGGGAATAACAGCATGGATTCCCGGTATGGAAGAACCTATGAATAAACTATGTATATATATGGATATACATGTATATATGGTGCAGCGTTGGCCACCCCCCCTCCCCCCCCCACCAATGGGTATGGGTGGACAGTATCGTCTGGTTCTTCTGGTCCCCCCCACCCCCTGTGGCCTGTGGTGGTTGTGGTGGTTGTGGTGGTGGTATGGTTCTTCTGGTCCCGCACCCCCTGTGGCCTGTGGTGGTGGTATGTTGGTATGTTGGTATGTTGGTATGTTGGGATGGAGGGATGGATGGATGGATGGATGGATGTATGGATGTATGGATGTATGGATGTATGGATGTATGGATGTATGGATGTATGGATGGATGTATGCATGCATGCATGTATGTGTGTACGTAGGTACGTAGGTACGTAGGTACGTCGGTATGTAGGTTTGTAGGTATGTAGGTAGGTAGGTATGTAGGCATGTAGGTAGGTAGGTATGTATGTCTGTGTGTGTGTATGTATGTATGTGTGTATGTGTGTATGTGTGTATGTGTGTATGTGTGTATGTATGTATGTATGTATGTATGTATGTATGTATGTATGTATGTATGTATGTATGTATGTCATGGGAATGTAAGGTAAGGTAAGGTAATGTAAGGTAAGGTAATGTAAGGTAAGGTAATGTAATGGATGTATGTATGGAATGTAAGGTAAGGTAAGGTAATGTAAGGTAAGGTAATGTAAGGTAAGGTAATGTAATGGTATGTATGTATGTATGTATGTATGTATGTATGTATGTATGGAATGTAAGGTAAGGTAAGGTAATGTAAGGTAAGGTAAGGTAATGTAAGGTAAGGTAATGTAATGGTATGTATGTATGTATGTACGTAGGTATGTAGGTAGGTAGGTAGGTATGTAGGTATGTATGTATGTATATACACCACCACAGGGGCATCATACCCCCCCCCCCTCCCATGGGGGGGGGGGGGG